AATGATCAGTGGAGGCTTCTATTCTGCCATCTTGCGCCATCCTCCAGTTTCTTTTTGTTTTCTGGGTTTTTTTGTTTGTTGTTTTGTTTTGTTTTTTGTTTTTACTTAGCATGTATAACCTTAAATATTTAACATAATATAGTTACTTATTTTGTTGACTATGTATTATCTGTCTCCTGACTACTCTCCGCCCCCATCCCAGAATGTACACTCCCAATGATGTTTCCCAAGCATCTAGAACAGTATTTGGCACCAAGCGTGTGCTCAATTCTTAGTGGAAAGCATGAAGAATAAATTTAAAAGATAATAAGTAAGGGTAACGCAAAACTCTATTACTGAGGTTCAAATATATAGAAGCTTAAAAAACACATACAAGTATATAGTAATACAAGTTTTAAGAAAAACAGAAAAAAAGAGTAGTAAGTCCTTAACAAAGTTCTGAGTTGACTCTGGCTTTCTCTATATATATTTAGTCCATTTTATTGAGTCCATTTTATTTTATATGTCTACTGATAGTGTATTACATTGTGATAGGCTATTAATAGACTATTAATAGGCTATTAATAGTCTATTACATTGTGAAAATGGCAAAAGCAAACTAGAGGGATACAAAAAAATATCATAAGGAGTTAAGCTGACCTAATATAAATAAATTTTGATAACTATGTAATTAGAGAAACAAGGAAATAAGTCAATATAGTCTCATATATGGTGTGAAGTAAGTCCAATACTGTACTTAAAAGACTGGAAAGATAATATCATTTCAAAAAGTCTGTAAAGATCTAAAGAACATATTATACTACTAAATGGTAAGTCAAGAATCCCCATTTTACTCTAGTAAGTGGCTATATCAGTCAGGATTCTCCAGACAAATAGAACCAGTATATATTTATTTTCAAAGAATATATATTTCCAAATCATTTTTAGTTTAAATTTATTTGAAAGAACTGGTTTATGCAATTGTGGGGGGTGGCAAGTTTAAGATAATAGAGCAGGCCAGCAGGCTCATACAGGAACTGATACAGTATTGCATCAGAATCTTTCTCTGGGAAACCTCAGTTGTTGCTCATAAAGCCTTTCAGCTGGTTAGATGAAGCTTACTCATATTACTGAAAGTCATCTCCTTTACTTAAAGCCAAAGCCAACTGATTGCAGCTGCTAACTACAGCTGTAAAAAACCTCCACAGCAATGCCTATATTGCTGTTTGATTAAATAACTGAGTATTATAGCCTAGCCAAATTGACAAATCACAATGACTAAAATGCTTTCATAAAAAAAAATTCTCTGAAGGATCATGTCATTTTTTTGCAAAAATTTTACTCAGGTCTGCCCCAATGATTTTCAATGTACATATTGCCACATACTACCCTTTCAATTCTATAAATATTCATTGAATATCTACCACGTGGTAGCCACTACAGGACTGTCTGTCCATGAAGAGCTCCAGAAATTAATTTTGTGTGCAGTAACTTTATTTGATATATCAGGAACACTTATTACCTTCAAGCAAATGACTCAGCTTTTAAAAGATGCATCTGAGTAAGCTACTGAAAAAATTTTACCAACAAGACAAATGACCAACAAGTCATTTGTCTAACATATCATTCAGTGTCCAGCATTCAGAGTCAGTTTGTAGTCTCAAAAGTTTCCTCTACTGTGTTCATTGAAAATTTAAGGACAACTTCATTATAATGAGGACACACCATCTTCTTTATAATCTGACCTCTTGTATGATTTATATTACTTATCTTTTAAGTCCATCCGGTTCTGTCTACACCTGCCTTTTTTATTTTTAAATTTACTTTTGCTACACTAGTTGGTCTTTGCTAAAAATCATAAAATGGGATCAAAATAAGGAATTTGTGTCACATAAAAGCTAGAGTGCAATGGGGATGGTGTGAACTCATTATGTTGACCAATTGTAATGGCATTTTCTTTTTGGCTTATGTAACTGAAGTTGCATTGTAAGAAGCTACTAGAATTCTTAGAGTATTACAATTGTCAAAGTGAGAATATATGTAATAAACTTTGTGACTACTCTATTCCTGCAGAATTTCTGTACTGGCAGTCAGATATTTTTGTTCCCGCAACTGTGGTCCAAAGTTAGGTTAAGGGTCATTGTCAGACCACCTTTATTTCAGCCCTCTCCTATCCTTGGCCAATTTAATTGAGTTTTCATCTTCCAAGTCTAGCAAATTGGTCACAGTCTTACTTCCCCATATTTTACCCATTCTGTTGTGCTGCTTAGAATTAAATTCCTTCATGATCAAGTTTCCGCCAGCTTCTTGCCAATCATCTCACGTCTGATCTCATGTCTGAGCTACAGACCCCTGGTGTTAGATCCCCCTTTATCTGACAGCTGATTTTCCTGGATCTTTATCTCCTACCTGAAGCCACAGCCACACAAAATCTCCTCCCTAGAGGTGGTTTCTGTCTACTGACCAGAATTCATTATTTGCTGTTCACAAACTCTTTGCTACTTTAACTTTTCTTCAGAGACTGTGGCAAAGAACCTTCCCTGATTGCTAACTACATCCATCCTTTTGCCATGCCCTTACTATAAATCAGCTGCTATTTCTGTAACTGCAAATAAAAGGCAGAGATAACTTTGAAAAATATATATTTCTTTATTGGTTTTTTTAAACTTAGCATATTACTTTATGAAAGAAATGCATATGCCTATCAAATATAGTAAAAAGTGAACATCTCATCTTCGCCATTCTCTGATCTCACTCCTTGGAGAAACTACAGTTAACTGTCTACCAGAAATGGTATTCAATCCCTGCTGCATCTTAGGATCACCTGAGGAGTTTTCCAAAATGCTGGTATCTGTTCTCCACTCAGTAATCTGTTACTAAATGTCTACCAACCAGAGCTACAGGTTGGGAGGCTGAGTTGTAGTATTTGCTGATTTCCATGGCATAAATGCTGTTTCCGTGGCCAATTTCAACTTACCAGTGTGAAATACTGAAGTCAATCAGCAAAATTCCTGAAGATCTTATAATCAATCCTCACGATAATATATAAGTTGACTTCAGCAGACCATCACCTCCACCCTCGTCCCATTCCTTAATAATTAAATCAGAATCTCTGAGGATCTGTCCAAGGTAAGTTTGTCTCACACAGAGCCCTTGTAAAGTAGTGTTTGGCCCCTGGCTTTATAACTTGTCTCTATCATTTAATAGTGGTATAATGTTGGGAAACTTACTGTGCCTCAATTTTCTTCATCTGTAAGATGGGAATATTAATTATATCTACTTTATAGGATAATTCTGAGGATTAAAAGAATTCATGTAAGACACTTAGAAGAGTGCCTGGCAGCCAGGTACGGTGGCTCATGCCTGTAATCCCAGCACTTTGGGAGACTGAGGCAGGCGGATCACCTGAGGTCAGGAGTTCAAGACCAGCCTGGCCAATACGGTGAAACCCCGTCTCTACTAAAACTATAAAAAATTAGCTGGGCGTGGTGGCAGGTGCCTATAATCTCATCTATTTGGGAGGCTAAGGCAGGAGAATTTCTTGAACCTGGGAGGCAGAAGTTGCAGTGAGCAAATATTGCACCATTGCACTCCAGCCTGAGCAACAAGAGTGAAACTCCGTCTAAAAAAGAAAACAAAGGAGTGCCTGGCATATTAGCAATTTTTATGCTCTCTTAACTCAGTTTCTTCATATCAACTAGATCTCTTTGAGAAAACTGTCCAAACTTGACTCTAGCTACCATTTTTAGTGTTAATTTTTGCGTGTGTTAATTGTCCAAAGCAACTCAGGATTTCTGTGCTGGAAAAAAATTAAAGGTGGCTTAGATTGAGAATTTTGAGAATTTAGAGTGAGGACAAATAAGAATTTTAATTAAAACCACAACTCAAATTCATAGAATGGTATATTTCATTCCTTATACCAAGCTAGGGTAAAGAGGGTTAGTGAACATTCGATCAGAGAGAAACACTTCCTTTCAACATTGTGACCCTAGGCAAAAGATGCTGAAAGGATACTCCTGCGAAGATGCTTCACTCCGTGAATTAAATATAGGTATGATCATAAATCATTACCCTGAAATGAATTTCTGAAGGACAGATTAAGCATTCAGATTCACTGCTCATATCATCAAAAAGCTTGGTCTCTTGAAATAAATCCTCTAAAATAAAAAATTTAAAAAACTCTATTCACTTTTACTAAATAAATTTTAGAACCTGAAGTCACCTCAGAGATCATTGTCTACTAAATTAAAAGTGAAGAACTTGCTGCTAATTAGGTCTGAGCTAGGAACAAGTTCTGAACAATCCCATGGCATTTTCTCAAATATTGTTAGGCTCTCAGTTTCTCCATCCATCAACTGAGCTTTGATTTTCTTTAGTGTTCAAAGTTCCTGCTAACAATACTTTACCAGGACCCTTGGAACAATGGGAGACTTAGTAAACAAGAAAATAAAGGAAAAATAATACGTTATTTCTAAATAATGTAATTGGACAAGCTTGGAAATGCCCTCCTGCAGCAACAGAGTTTACAAGATTATAAGTAGGATTCAATTCCAAGGCAAGTTGATCTAGCTTATAATGATCTAGTTTGTATAAATAATCCACATTCCCACAGCTCTTCTAGACTAAGAACTGTTTATAGTGGAAAGAATAGGATAATATTACTGTGTAGGCTAGCTTACAGAGTAGCAATTATGCTCTCAGACTTGGATATTTTACTCTGCAGTTTTCTTTAAAAGTGTTTTTAAATCTTGTATATGATGTGAAATATCAGGGAGTAGAGGGAAGAGAACCAGCATTTTTAAAGTTCTTATTTCACACTGAGTACTATGGGCAACAGTTTACATAGCCTATCCTACGAAGTTTCATGACAACTACAGAAGTTAAGCTTTTGTTCTTTTTTTTTTAAATGCAACTCAGTAATTTTTATTCCAGCTGGAAGACAGTACATCACAAAAACCTATGGTAGGTCCGAGGGGAAGTGTTATTTACAATAAATGATGAAATAGTTTGTCTTTGGCAATATGATTACATATGAAGAATGCAAAATGCAGGTATGGATGCCTTCCAAGCAACATCATCAAGTCCCTAGAGTTTAGTTGATTGTGCCTGCCACCACATTGTTTCTTTAGGTTTACATAAACGTAACTGAACATCATGTTATTTATCCTTTATGGTTCTCCCTTTCTATTCATGATATTGACATGAATACCAGAAAAAAATTGGCTTTGGAAAAATTATTATTCTCATAAATTAATTTGGCCATGTAGTTCTGTTGGCCAGCCAAGGTCACACGACCCTAAGCATCAATAGTAAACCTCTTGTTCTTCTGACTGCTTTATCACTTTTTTTCCCGTAAAACAAAACGAAACTCAGAAATGTTACAGAATCAGAGTATGAAAAAATGTACAAGTGTATATGCTTCCCAGACACACATAGATACATTTTTCTTCCACATTTTCACCATGGCAATATTAAGTAGTGAGTATGAATGGCACAGCATGAAACTGGTTACTGAATCAGCTATGAGCTCAGATGGCCTCAACATACATACTCAAGAAATGCTGAATGTTTAAATAGCCGAGAGTGTGCTAAATCTCATCTTTAAAAAAGGAGGAGAGGGGCTGGGGAACTCAGACCACAGTCATGTAAACCTAAGGGTTGGACCTATAGCTGATCACACCCTGCTCCTTTGCCCAGCCCCCACCTGGGGTTGGCAGTGCAGCTCCCACCCAGGCCAGAAGTTAGGTTTTTTAATTCACCAAAGGTTTAGGATTAATAGTTCATGAAATTGTTTTACACGTTTCAGTGCGACTCCAAAATTCTTCATCAATATTAATTAGACTCATGCTGCTTATGAAAATGCAAAACAAACACAGTTTTTCTATAAGATCATTATAAGCTTATGTATTTGCCTTGTACATACTTTTGTAATTATCACAGAGTAGAAATCATCAAATCTTACTCATTTTTGCATCTCTCAGTAAGCATCATAGCCTGACACAGAGAGGTGCCCATTAAAGGTCTGTTAACAAAACAACAGACATCAAAGGGAAGCTTTAGGTCAGAAATAACTAAAATTATTTCTGACATTATTTGGCATATGTAAAATAGTTCATAATAAATTTTTATTATAATTTAAATAGTGTATAATAACATTTTTTAGATCTATACAACAAGAACCTCTTGTATGATGAATTCCTAGAAATGTGTCTGCAAGTTCAGAGGTCTGTAAATTATGCAAAATGTAAGCGGTGGATTTTTTCAAACAAATGTGTATTGTAAAATTGAAATATTATCAACTGTTTAATTTACAAAACAAATAAAAATATAAAGAAGAAAGCCATCATGATTACTCCCTTGACTCAGCTATTACAGCAGAGAAATGGGTCTGTTTCTCACTCTAGTGCTTTCTCCAACAGATTCACATCTATTTATTCTTCTGAACACCTTTCCTAATTTGCCTCCAGAGAAATCAGTAGACATTATTTTTGTTGACATTCCCAATGTTCTTAAAACAATTAAAAGAATGGGGTCAGGGAAAGGAGCACATCAATGAAATGCAAAAGAAAGGAGAGAGTTCTGTTGTTGAGGCCCTAGACAGTAATGATTACTCTGTGGTTATCTAAGTCTTCTTCCCCAGAAGCTATTGTCTTTGAATTTGCACAGCAACACAGTTTGCTGGCTGAATGACCTGTCTGACATTATAAAGAAGGCCCCCAAAGTCAAGATCCTGAACCTCACCAAAAATGAAATGAGAAGAAATGGCCAGATCAAATTTGGGTTGATGGTAGATGGTACTGCACATCAGTATGATAGTGAGAAATAGGATCCCCAGCAGACACAGGCAAGCTCCTGGAAATGATCACACTGGCCAGACCACCCATTCCTGCTCTTCTTTTTCTCCTAGGAGCAGCTTGTACAAGTACATCAAGGATATCAGGAATAAAAAATACTCAAGGACTCCTGTAAGTGTGTGATGGGGAAGACTGGGCAAGGTAAGGAGGTATGATGGAAGCAATCACAGAGGCCAAGGGCCAGGATGTGGCAGCCCTCCCCCAAACTTTGCTTCTCCTCTCCACAGACCAGCGGGGGCAGCTGCTGAAGCACACAAAACATGACATTGTGGACTTCCTCAGTGTGTTGCCCAAAACTCAGCATGACCTCAGCTCCTTCCTGGTGGACATATGGTACCAGACAGTTAGCATTTGCTTCCTCCTTCGGACAGGCCCAGAGAGCCAGAGGTGGGTAGGAGGCTAAGGGGGATCCTGAGCACCTAAGCTCTTCCCTTTCATGAATAGATGCTCTACTTTTCTGTAAACAGGGTGTTCAAAGAAGGTGAGTGTCTATAGAGTCTCCTCCCCAAATCCCCCACTGCTCCCTCCCCCTGGCTGAGCTCCCTCTCAGAACTCTCCCAGCTTCCCTGACTCCTTTTCTTCCCTTCCTATTCACTGTGTGTTCTTCCGTTCCCAGTCTACTCCCAAAGAATTACCTATTTTATTTTAAAGTCATAAATTTACTAAAAGTTTAGAAATACTTTCTATATTGCCAAAACAAAAAATATTTAAATGTGAAAAGCTGGAAGAACATATTTGCAACAATATTGCAGACTTTGTGTTAATAACCCTGTACTAAAGGACTTGTGCTAACCAGGAGAAAGTGTAACAAATATCAAGAGTTAATTTCCCTGAAAAGCAAAATGACTCTATAATAGACATTTGTGTCCAAACTACATTGATTAAACAAATGAGAATTAAAAGATGTCACAATATTGAAAAAAATCAGTTTGCAGAAGATTATGTGACTTCAAATTCTTAAAATAATATATATGTATGTTTGTTACACATATTTTAAGGTAGGTAAATATCTGCTTTGCACATCTAGAAAGTGTGCACTAGATTGGTAAATAGATTATTTACAGCGAATATCTTTAGGTCATCGTGTGGTGATCATACTGACAGAAGGTGCAGAATGACTTTATTTTCAAAATACATGTTTCATAGTGTTTAATATTTTGTAATTAGTAAACTTCAGGGAGAGCAAGGAGCTGGTGATTCTGTAAATAAGTTTTCTCCTGTTACATGAAGGAATACAATGTAATGTATTGGAAAGAGCCTAAATAGCTAAGTTCTCTGTTTGTAACAAGTACCTAGGCCCGAGGCCCTGTGATTGGAGCTAACCAATTCTGCAAGAGTATCTCCCTTGGAAACAACTCCCTGGGGTTCAGGCTGGTAGGAAACCTAGAGGGCAGTAAGAATAGTAAACTTAGTCTCCTCTAGCCCCCAGACGTCTCCTCTCTATGCCTTTGAGGAAGGAATTTCCTGTAAGGACTCCATTTTGTTCACTAACAAAGTGGCTTGGGACTTGCTGTCACCTTCCTTGGCTGCCCTCCTCAAACTTCTGAAAACCCCCAGCTCCAGACCACAAAGATTCTCCTGTGAGGACATTGGTGAAAAGTCACTGCCTTCAGGACACACCATGGGTGAGTTGATCAGCATGAAGCCTTGGTTTCAGGTCCCCACAGGGCAGGAGGGACTGAGCCCCCTTCCTACCTCCACTCCACCCACATGACACCTAGCAGAGTCTCCTTTAAATGGGAAGTAGCAAGAGCCCAAATTCCATCAATTTATTGCCATGTATATTTTGGCTTTGCACTAAAAAATAAACACAGATTTGTTTTATTAACATCTTTATGTTGAACTGAACCATTTATCATTATAAAATATCCCTTCCTCTTCTAGTGATGTTTTACTGAAAGTATATTTTTTCTCTTATGAATGGTTATACCAGCTTTCATTTGGTCAGTGTTTTAATGGTATTTTTTTTTGCCTTTTTTTTCAAATGTCCTGTGTTTTGTTTTACATATGTTACTGTTAAGGAGCAGTTGGTTAAATTAATTTTTAATCAAGTCTAACGATTTCTGCTTTTTATTTGAAACCTTCAGTACATTACATATAACATAATGCCACATATAATTTGGCTTAAATATAACATCTTTCTGTTTGCTTTACATCTATTTTCCTATTCTAATTTTCTCTTTTCCTTTGTAAAATTTTAAATTATTTTTAAATTGTTATTTTTTGCTTCATTTGGCTTGACAATGTGACATTCTTTTGTTATTTTTGTAGTCTACCTTTCAGATTACAACACACATTCTTGCCTTATCACAGTCTAATGTATGTTAGTTCTTTCACATATCCTTGGACAACACAGATACCTTCCAATATTTTAACTCTCTTAATGTCCCTCCCAATATACTATTGTGCATAAAATTATTTTTAACTTTTATCTTAAGTTCTGGGGTATATGTGCAGGATGTACAGGTTTGTTACATAGATAAACGTGTGCTATGGTGATCTGCTGTACAGATCAACCCATAACCTAGGTATTAAACCCAGCATGCATTAGCTATTTTTCCCAATGCTCTCCCTCCCCTAACCCTCCCACCACAGGCCCCTGTGTGTGTTGTTCCCCTTCCTCAACAAACTAATGCAGGAACAGAAAACCAGACACTGCATGTTCTCACTTATAAGAGAACTCACTTTGGGAGCTGAACAATGAGAACACATATTTAAATTATTTAAAGATGTAATCACTGTATTATATAGTAAATATTTATTTAGATTTTCCTACATATTTGCCAATGTCATTATTCTTCATTCCTTCTTGTGTTTACATTCCTCAAACTGGGATCATATTTCTTTGGCCTGAGGATGAGTCTTTAGTTTTGAGTTGACTGGCGACAAATTTGCTTAGCTTTCGTTTGGATTAAAATGTCACAAGCAGGGCCGGGTGCGGTAGCGCACGCCTGTAATCCCAGCACTTTGGGAGGCTGAGGCAGATGGATCACTTGAGGTCAAGGGTTTGACACCAGCCTGGCCAACATGGTGAAACCCCGTCTCTACTAAAAATACAAAAATTGGCTGGGTGTGGTGGCACGCACCTGTAATCCCAGCTACTTGGGAGGCTGACACAGGAGAATCGCTGAGGCAGGAGAATCGCTTGAATGCGGGAGGTGGAGGTTGCGGTGAGCTGAGTTCGTGCCGTTTCATTCCAGCCTGAGCAACAAGAGCGAGACTCCGTCTCAAAACAACAACAACAACAACAACAACAAAAAGTCACAAGTAGCCTGGAAAACATGGCAAAACCCCCTCTCTACAAAAAAGTAACAAAAATTAACCAGGCGTGGTGGCGCATGCCTGTAGTCCCAGCTACTCTAGAGGCTAAGGTGGGAGATTGCCTCAGCCCAGGAGGAGGAGGTTGCAGTGAGCCAACATCATGTCACTGCAGTCCAGCCTAGGTGGCAACAAAGCAAGACCTGTCTCAAAAAAAAAAAAAAAAGTCACAAGTATGAAAAAATCTCAAAGTGCTTTTTTCTATTTTCTCACTCTACAACAACCATCAGCACAGAAGACTTCTGTGACCAAATATGTGGCGGGAGTTTTCCCCACCAACAAGCAAGCAATCAGTTTTGTAGTAAACACTTGCTGTGTGTCCTCTAATTTAATTTTGATAGTGTCAAAATTAGATTACCTGGAGATAGCATCAGAACCCACAGATTGTGGGCTCAGTCCCCAAGACTGACCCCCTCCTTCAGACACCACGAGTGGGAAGTCTGGGTCTTCAGAATTTTTTTTTTTTTTTTTTGGGGGGATGGAGTTTCGCTCTTGTAACCCAGGCTGGAGTGCTATGGCGCGATCTTGGCTCACCGCAACCTCCACCTCCTGGGTTCAAGCAATTCTCCTGCCTCAGCCTCCTGAGTAGCTGGGATTACAGGCACGCGCCACCATGCCCAGCTAATTTTTTGTATTTTTAGTAGAGACGGGGTTTCACCATGTTGACCAGGATGGTCTCGATCTCTTGACCTCGTGATCCACCCGCCTCGGCCCCCCAAAGTGCTGGGTCTTCAGAATTTCTGACTGATCGCTTTCAAGTTGGAGTTCCTATGACCCTCTTTTTGAATTTGATTAATTTGCTAGAATGGCTGACAGAACTCAGGGAAGCACTTATGTTTACTAGCTTATTATAAAGGATATTGCAAAGAATACAGACAAATAGATGTATGGGGCAAGGTACAGGAAAGGGATGTGGAGCTTCTATGCCCTCCTCAGGTGTGCCACCATCCAGGAATTTTCATGTGTTCATCTATCCAGAAGCTCTCTGAACCCTGTCCTTTCGCTTTTTATACATGCATGACTGATTAATCCATTGGCCATTGGTGACTGACTTATCCTTCAGCCCCTTGAAAGTCCCAGCCTTCTAATACTGCCGTGCCCTTTCCAGTGACCATCCCTCATCCTGAAGCTACTAGGGGCTGCCAGCCTAGCATACAAAAAGACTTCACTTTGGAGTTTATAAAAATTTTAGGAGTTGTATGCCAGCAAACAGGGTTGAAGATCTAATATATAGTTTGCAGTATCACAGATGTTTAACTTCCATTTTGTATCTTTCAAAAAATGGAAGTTAAATAAACACACAATTCTAGACCTATGGCTATTACACTTTAGCACTCTGAATATATAACATTACTTTCTTTAAGCTACATTATTTCTGTTTAAAAATTATATATTGATCAGCCTTATTTTTGCTTATTTGAAGATAACCTGTTGTTTTCATTTTGCTTTGAATATTTGCTTTTTTCTTTGGATTTCAACAGCTTTACTAGGATGCACCTGGGTTTTGTTTTCCTCATACTCCGCTGTACTTGAAATATACATTGCTACTTGCATCTGTTACTTGGCATCTTCTGTTACTTTTTGAAACTGTTCAAACTTTATACCTTGAAATACTGTTTATGCACTCTTCTCTTTTCTTCCTTCTAAAACTCAGATTAAACATATTTGATGTATTTACTGTATCCCCTTTAGTTTTGCCGTGTCTTTTTGTACCCTTCATCATTTTGTGTATTTGTACTATTCCAAACCCCCATGTTGTTCAAGGAGATATAAAAGAACTAATGTGCATTAGACCGTAATAAGGCAAGAACGTACATTGCCACCTGAAGGGTAAAGGCCACAAAAATACATCTATGATGTTATGCTACTAATCACATAATTGTTCTTAATGACAGTTATTTCATTTACGGACTCTAGAAATTCTGTTCATTTTTTTATATTTTTCAATTCTTGGCTGAAATATAATCTTTTATATTCTTGACAATAATGCGATTATCTGAGTATTCGGATTTTATGTGTTTTTTATTGTCCTTTTTTTGGCTTGCTTGGTATTTAATCATGTCATTTTATCTCCTTTTTTACCTATTTTTTTTCAGGGAACTATATATAATAAATTATAGATTTATTTATTTCAGTCCTAGGATGAAGTTGTCTTGCTCGAGGGAAGATTTTTTTTCTTTCTGTCAACTTGCTAGGTTGCAAGGAAAACCCCAAATCTCTTTAATCTCATTGATGATTGAGATTATTAATTTGGACTTCAGTTCCTTGGAGGGCTGGCCTATTTCCAGTTTACCCATATTTACTTGACATAGCTCTTAGAGGTTCCTATCTAAGCCTGGGTGGTTTGCCAAGGTCCCCTCTCCTTAACATGCCCAACTTCAAATTTTATGCGCTTAGCTCTATGATTCTGTGGGAATTTGGCAAAAATTCACAGCATTTTAGCATGTTACCTACATCCTTAGGAATCATCAACTGCTGCTAGAAAAAAATCAGCCCCAAGGATTGGGATTACATTCTGAGTTCCCTTTTTGCCCCTGGTGTTTCCCCCATAACAAGTTATTGTATTATTAGCTTTTTGATACCTTTAAATAATCTTTATTTTAAGTGATTTTCCATACTTTTCTAGTTATTCTCAGTTGGAAGTTTGGTACAACTTAACTAATCTCTTTTTACTGGAAGAAAAACTCTAAATTTATTTTTTCAAATGCTGAGTTTGGTATAGTTCTTATTATCCTCATTGTTATCTTCTTTACTGTGGCTTCTCTCTAATGTTTAGAAGATAATGCCACAGGAATGGGTAAACACATGTAATATGCTTTCCATGAAGTCTTCAAGATGGACGTATATGGTTAGCATGGATTCAGTATATCAGAAGCTTTTTCTCATTTTATTGTATGGCTATTGCTCATCGTCATCTTATGCTTCCATCCTTGATTGTTTGCCTCTTGTTTATGAGAACATCAGGTCTCTTTCAGGCTCAACTACTCTCTGATATCTCAGCCACTACCCTGATAATAAATTCTGGATCCTTCTCTTCCAGCCATCCTCCTAATTATGAATATGTACATTGAGGCAATGTTTTTCAAATATACACTTTAAAAAGGGCAATCTTTGTATCAACATATACAAATTTTCAAAATGGTTCATGAACTGGTGAGAATATAAGCTCATTCAGTCACTCTTTATTAGCATGCAAATAAGTATAAATATATATTTTAAATGCCACTTCTAAAAATCTCTTAAATTTGAAAGCATTCATGTTTTGATCAAAGTAATCCACTTGTAGAATTATTGCAGGAAAAACTGTCAACAAATAATAGAAGGTATCTATAATCCTATTCTTAGTAGCATTGTTTATAGTAGCAAAAATTTGAAGGATTTATTAAAATTTGAATTTTTTTTAGATTAAAGTTTGTAACAGATTTTAACTAAAATAATAATCTAATGTATAAATTATATTAAAGTCAGAAATTGTTATTTAGACATTTTAGAAAATATGAAAAATATAAATTTTGGACTAATCATATTTCTTCTTTCCTGAGCTTCCAGCTCAATGAGATTCAACCATCAGTTCTTGCTCTGGTAAATAGGTGACCTTGGCTTTAATTTCCACAATGTCTGTAAAGGAAAGCATATTAATTTGATAAATAATAAAAATCAATTAAATATTAGTTCTGAACATACAATGATATAAAATGTTAACTGAAAAGAGCAGGTTACAGATATTTTTACAATATGATTGAAGTTTGTTAAAAGATTTTTGAGCAGAGGAATGAGAAGATTTGACTTATGCTTTAAAGAAATCACTCTCCCCCCATGATGAAAATGTATGGTAAGGAAGCAAGTGTAAAAGCAGAGGGACAAGTTGGAAGGCAATGTAATCCAGCGGATAGATGTTGGTGACCTTGCCAGGGTAGTAGCAATGGAGGGAATGAAAAGGGACCAGACTCTGGATATATTGTAAAGGTAGAGTCAAGAGACTTTCCTGATCAGTTGAATGTGAATTATGAGAAAAAGAGAGCATTACAAGCTATCATCAAATTTTAGGGACTGAACATTTCTGGATCAAATGTTCTACCCATATTTAATTTCACTTCCAATGCCTTACAAGAAAAGTCCCAAAGGTTGTGAGTAACAAGACTATCCTGACCATGGGTCGCACGGTGAAAGCAATGACTTTCCAGAGGAGTTCATCTGAGGCCTGGTCGTAACAATTATATTGTAAATGGATCAGGAGTGAACAGAATGTTTACTCACAAATATGTCCTGAGATAACATGGTGTAATTAATATATAATATGTATAAAATACAAACCTATGGATGAGCATGGTGGCTCATGCCTATAATCCCAGAAGTGTGGGAGACCGAGGCAGGAGGATTTCTTGAGCTTAGGAGTTCGAAATCAGCCTGGGCAACATGTTGAGACCCCATGTCTACCAAAATTTTTTTTAAAAATAGCCTAGCATGGTGGTGTGCACCTATAGTCCCAGCTACTTGGGAGACTGGGGTGGGAGGATTCACTGCAGCCTGAGGGGTGGAAGTTGCAGTGAGCCAAGATCATACCTCTGCACTTCAGCCTAGGTGACAGAGTAAGACCATGTCTCAATAAAATATATAAAAATTAAATTAAATACAAGCCTAGAGAACATTACATTTAGATGCCAAAAGGAAGCTGGCTTCAAATAGTCTAATATCCTTAATCCCCACCTTCAAAACCATTAGTATTATTATTGTTGCTGTTGAATGTGATAAAAATAAAATATCCTTCATCAATATGCTTATGGGAAAGAGAATTGATACTATCTCATTTTTGTAGCTGTAAATTAAACTTCCAAATCTTGCCACGTGGTTAATTGAACATGTTGATGGGGAATATGGAGGGTGAACAAGGAAATTCCTAGTAGCAAATACATTGTGAAATATAACTGAAACACATAATAAGCATGCCTGAGTCCACAATATTTGATAAAGTAGACTTGCTAGCAAAGAAAATCTGTAGAAACAAAAATGATATTACATAATGATAAAAAGATCAATCCACCAGGAAGATGGAATGATTCTAACTGTGTACACACCCAAACAGCAAAGGCTGAAAATACATGAAACAAAAACTGATGGAGCTGAAATAGCCAAGTCCACAATTATCATTGGGGCCTTCAACATCCCCAACAACAGCAGAGTATACTTTTTGCCCACATATCTTACAACATTCATGATAGACTGTGTTCACAGAGACAGACCATGTCCTGGGCCATCAAGCAAACCTCAGTAAATTTAAAAGAATGAAAGTCATACAGATTATTCTCTCTGACCACAGAAAAATCTCTAAACACTTGGAAATTGTAGTTGACACCTATCATTTATGATCATTGTTCAGCTCCTTGTTATAGAAGAGTAGAGGTTAGAAGCATTGTCTTCTCAGCTGAAAGGCACTTCAGGGTCAGCAAAAAGACAGATCACTGTGTGTATTTCAAAAAGCGTATTGTTGAAGGCAAGGCTGGAGGCAAAGAGACAGTTTAGTAGGATGATACATCAATCTACCCTGTCATGAAAGTTTGCATTAGAAGAGACAGTACAGCTTGCTGATTATTAATAAAATCAATTTCGTGGCTGATTGCATTTGGGAGGTGTGAGAGAGGTTGCCAATCATGTTTCGGTGAGATTGTTAGACTACAGTGGCACAAGAGAAGGCAAGATTTGGATCCTTCCTGGGGTGTGGCTGATGTCCTGTCTAATCCATGAACATTCACACTTCTCTTCTTTATAAATGCTGCTCCATTTTCCAAATGGTTCCACACAGTTACCTCCTCCTTTAAGATTTCTTCCCTAATTATGTCATCTGTAAGAAAAGGCCCTCCTATCTGGACAGGTAGAGGAGTTTGCTTTCTGGGGGTTGTGTTACTGCTCTATTAGGGCAAGCTGACACTTTGCTTGCCATACTATGGTGTTAGGCCAAGAAATGGTAAATGGTATGTGACCACTGATGTGTCTTCAAACTTGTATTTTTGTTCCAAATTTCAGAACACAGTGATGGTAACAGCTCTCCTCAAGGAGAAAATAAAGGTAGAGATTCTTCCCAGGATAATTTTGGAAAGGAGAACCTTCATGATGAACACGATGGGTATGAGCTCCCACCTCCCCACCTTCAGGAGGATGATGAAAATGTGGAGGTGAGGGATGTCCACGAGGACCCCCAAATAAGAAAGTAAGTGATCAGGCAGGTTGGTTTGCACATAGCAGCCCCTGGAACTTTGTATTTCTTTCAGTCTCTGTAGTCTTCTTTTTTTCTTCTCATTGAAAAACTGAAGAATGCTAGAAGTGAAGTAATGGCTGAGAAATCCTAATTGCAGACCTGGTTTTCAGTGAGTTGAGGGTGTATGAAAAACTGTGTCACATTTCTATGTATTTCTATACATTTATAGGCATATATTTTTATCCATTTCCCTACAGCAACCCCTGTACCTTACAACCCAATAGTAGGACTATGAAATGCCATAGTGAATTCCAAGATATAATTTCTCCAGAGAGGGAAGTGGAGAAGAAGACACAGAATGGAGACCCGGGGACCTGGTTCAAGGTCACAGTGAGTGTCCTGAGAAAATGCCAAAAAACATGCAGGAAAGGCGGGTCAGGGAGAGTTGTGTTAATCACGTGTAAAAATATTAGATATTGGCGGGGCACAGTGGCTCATGCCTGTAATCCCAACACTTTGGGAGGCCGAGGCGGGCAGATCACTGGAGGTCAGGAATTCGACACCAGCCTGACCAACATGGTAAAATCCTGTCTACTAAAAATACAAAAATTAGCCAGGTGTGGTGGCACATGTCTGTAATCCCAGCTACTCAGGAGGCTGAGACAGGAGAATCACTTGAATCTGGGAGGCGGAGGTTGCAGTGAGCAGAGATTGCGCCATTGCACTCCAACCTGGGTGACAAAAACAAAACTCTGTGAAAGAAAGACAGAAAGACAAAGGGAGGGAGGGAAGGAGGGAGGGAGGGAGGAAGAGAGGGAGGGAAGGAAAGAGAGAAAGAAAGAGAGACAAAAAAGAAAAGAAAAGAAAGAAAAAAAGAAAGAGAAAGAAAGAAAGAAAGAAAGAAAGAAAGAAAGAAAGAAAGAAAGAAAGAAAGAAAGAAAAGACAAGAAAGAAAGAAAAGACAAGAAAGAAAGAAAAGACAAGAAAGAAAGAAAAGACAAGAAAGAAAGAAAAGAAAGAGAGAAAGAAAGAAAGACAGACTAGATATTTTTCAGAGGACAAGGGGAGTTAACATCTAAGGGCAGGTTCAGAAAAGCAATGTAAGGGGAATAGGCTGACTGCAAGAGGGCACAAGAGATTGTCTAAAAGCAAAGGTGTAAACTACTGCCAAGAAGATGGAGCAGCTCTCCACCAGATGCCTCATAGCTCAAGCTGAGTGTAGTGGTGTTGAGTTTCTGGAGTTCTTGTCAGAGGTGCAGGCTGAGTCTCCAATAGGTAGAACCTCCTAGCACCTTAAAAAAAGATTATTTAGAACATCTGAATTTTATTATCTTGGGGGTAAATTTGGAATAAAGAGTAAAGATAACAACTAGGAATTCCACGTCTGGCAAAAAAATAAAAAGTTGAAATTATGTTAATGGTCCCTATCTCAGAAGTCTTTTGAAGCTCCACTAGAAGGTTAGAATAAAACACTTAGTTGGGTCTATTTTCCAGGCTTAACTCCATGTTGTCTCTCTTCTATCCCATCTCTTCTTTTCACCATTAGATTCCTTATGGGATAAAGTATGATAAGACATGGATAGTGAATTCAATCCAGAGTCATTGCAATGTCTCCTTCACTCCAGTCAATGTAAGAGAATATGGTGAAGCCAGATGAGTGGGCACAGGGGAGGCGGAGAGGCCTCACTCAGAAGGGACCACTGGCCTCTGACACTATTATTCTTGCCTTCACTCCCTGTAGTTCCACTACAACAAAAATCAGGCCCACTTCTTTGTCCAGGATGTTCATGCTGCCTGTGCATTAAAGAAAGTCAACTGCAAGATTCATGATGAGGAAAACGAAAAGGTTTATGTCAACAATATTCCTGATATGTAATCTATCTCTGGACAGGAGGACAGGCCATGGACTAGTGGTTGTCTTTTTGAGATTAGAGGTCCTGGTGCTCACCTTGCCTCACCTTCTTGCAGGTATTTGTTTTTGTCAATCTTTCTACTGACCCCCAGTCTATGAAGAAAAAGATGAAACCAAAAGTGATGACACAGCTAAAGGTAATACAGACTCAAGGCACCTCTTCTTCCCCCACCCCTATACTTCCCTGTCACCACCACCAGAGCCTCAGAGCTTCTCTCTTCATCTCTATCTCTATAGCTGACCATGAACAAACGATATGATGTCTCCCAGCAAGCTCTTGATCTCCAGAGTCTCTGCTTTGACCCAGGTATGGCTGACAGCAACAATTCTAAGGCAAGTAGGGGCAGAGCAGTCTGCCTGGGAAGGAGACTTATATGGATGGCAACTTTGGGAGGGGTTGATGCTGGTACTGATCTAGCTGGGCCCTCTCAGCCTTCTGATTCCCTTCTCTTGGCTTCCTGAAGACTTGGTGAAACATCATTTTGATATAAGCCTGAATCGAAGAAACGACATGGCTGCCACTCTGAAGATCATTTCAACAAATTTTCCTGAGGTGAGGCCTTAGGCCGAGTGCTACTATTTAATTAGAGGGGTGGAAGAGATGGGGTTAAAGGCAGATTTGTCTCCAAGGCTCAAGATACTATCCGCCACTCTAACTGTTCTTACCCGATAGCTACTATCTTTGAACTTGTGCAACAACAAACTGTACCAGCTGGATGGCCTGTCCGACATTACAGAGAAGGCCCCCAAAGTCAAGATCCTGAACCTCTCCAAAAATAAGGTGAGAAGAGGGAGCCGGATCAACTTGGGTGGAGGGTGGATGACAGTATACATCAGGATGATGGCAACAGGCAGACAGAGGTGTCTGGTGTCTGTAGGTGACTGTGAGGGCTGGGGGAATTTGGGGCCCAGGGTCCCGGGTGTCTGTCTTTCCCTGGCCCTCATTCTCCAGTTTCCTCCCCATCTTTCTTAGCTGAAGTCGGTGTGGGAGTTGGGCAAGGTCAAAGGGCTGAAGCTCGAAGAGCTGTGGCTAGAAGGGAACCCCTTGTGCAGCACCTTCTCTGACCAGTCCACCTATGTAAGGTCAGTGGCAACCCCTGTCGCCCTTCCTGGGCACCTTTGCTCCCTGGATGACTGAGCTATATCTGAAAGTGCCCTTCTGCAGGAAGAGGTAGCCTTGGTCCTCTGGGAGGACCATAGACCTCCTACACAAACACACACACACACACACACACACACACACACACACACACTCCTCTCTCGGCGTCACTCACTCATCTGTGCTTAGCGGTCTCCTTTCCTTTCTCTGACATGCTCCCCTTTTCACCTGCTCTGTGGTGTTTCCCACTTGTCTCCACCCAGCCTCCTCCAGCGCACCTTCTGTGAGTGTGCTCCAGGGAGCTGGGCTCCCCCACCTTCACAGGACCAGCAATATTCTGATGCTGGTGCCTTGGACCAAGAAGAGTCTCCCAGCCCAGGTCTTCATGCTGAGGCAGGTCTTCCTGCCTCCATGCTGAGACAGGGTTTCCCTCCCAAGTCCCAAGGGGGATTCTCCTTCTCTTGCTCCAAAAAGATTCCCACACCTGTCCTGCGCTGGCATGGGGGCTTCCCTGCTCCATGCTGAAGGCTGAGGCCCTGGGTGGCTGCTATCATGCCATCTCTTCCTCTGGCCCAATGCCAGGAGCTGAGCCCTCCTTGGGGAGAAACCTGGGTTTTCTGAGTCAGGGCACCATAAGTGGGCACCTTCTTGAGGCAGTGGGCAGAGGAGGTTGAGGAGACAGAAGGACAGGCCTCTCAGGGCACTGCACCTCCTTCCGTCCACACCTCACATCGTCCTGCCTGGGGCCTCAGAGGAGCCCTGGGTAGCCAGAGACGGGTAGCATTCCTCGGTCAAGGCGCCAGCACAGAGGGGCACAGATGCCAGGGACCATCAGAAGAGAATGCAGTGGCCAGGAGAGGGGGTCCCCAGACTCTGAACCCCATGCTGAGCTGGGGCCTGACCCTTCACTACTCCTGGGAGAAAGTCTCCTGCCCCTGTGGCTGCTCTGTTTCCCATGCCCAGCTCAGACTGAGCTCACACAGGTGAGAAAGGCTCCAGCTGCATCCAGCAGGCCGCAGCCCAACAGGTACATGTTTTCCTTTCCTGCCTCGGTCCCCAGGGCCAGCCAGGGGGTGGTGAGGGAAAGGGCTGCAGCAGGGGAGCCCTTTTCTCCTCTCTTCCTCCCTGAAGTCCACCCGCACAGTAGAGCATCTTTCCCCTCCCTTTGCTTTGCATCCTGCTTCTCCTTTGTCTCTCATCTCCTATGTCTCCCCCATCTCTCCCACCCGTACTTTCACTCCGTTTCTGTTGTCAACCGCCCTGCCTTCCCCTTCTTGCCTCCTGAGCCCAGCCTCACTCACCCCCTTTCCCAGCATCCTGGGCCATCCCTAAGGGCTGACTTGCTCTTGGCCAGGGCCTGGTCAAGCAGGTTGATGGACAGCCAATGAGGTAGCAGAGCACTGGACTCCCACCCCATTTCCTGCTCCCTGCGGAGCCTTCCCTGGGGATTTGGGCAAAGGTGAGGGAGGGAGGGAGGAAGGAAGGGAGATAGGGGAAGAAAGCTCTGGAGCTCCCAATGCTGCTGCTTGTGGCACTGGAGAAAGGAGAGTCAGGGCAGTCTAGGTGGAAGCTAACCACGAGAAAGGAGAGGGAGAGGGAGAGGGGGAAGAGAGGGAGGAAACAGGCTATGCAACCTAAACTGTCAGTTACTTCATTCTATTTTTGGTTATGGACAGTACCATCCTGGAATGTTTCCCAGAGTTGTTACGCCTGGTAAGTATTTACCGTTATCACTGTCTCCTCTTACTCAAGTACATGACCTCCATGCCTGCCCTCAAGTCCTCTGGGCCTTGCCTAGATTACATGTTTGTATCAGACCCTCATCCATTTTAGAGGCAGAGATTCCTGAAAAAAAAAAACAAGAATATTCTCCCTGGAATAAAATGTCCATAAACACACACACACACACACACACACACACACACTCACACTCATTAATTCACACAAAAATTGCATCTAATAATAGAGGCTTCCAAGACCCACTGTTGAAGACTCCAGCTGTTGTCTTGCTGATAGAATTTTGAGGGGGCCATTTCACACCTCACCTCTGATCGTTGTTCCCTCTGGGCTTGTTCATCTCCTTACTCATTCAGCTCTACCTCCCTGGTATGCACTGCTGACTACCTCTTTCCTTTCTCAGGATGGCCAGGATTTAGCATCTCCAATTATAATAGGCGTTGAAGCCCCTGAGATAATAAAACCTTGTAAGGTAAGGAGGGACCATCAAGATTTGAGGTATTGTAAGGGATGTTTTTTAAACCACACAGCTTCAAGGCATCTTTTGATTCCAGGAAAGCTATAAAGGATCTGAGATCATAAAGAATCTGGTACTTCAGTTCCTGCTTCAGTAAGTACCCCAAAATCATGAGGCAGTGGAAGGTTGAGACAAGACAAGGCCCCCCAAGCAAATGTCTATTCATGGGTTTAGGGGTCTTCAAGTCTCATTTGGCGCCCAAGCCACAGAAATAGCCTATCCCCACTTCTCTTTCACAGGTATTACTTGATCTATGACTCTGAAGATAGAAAGGGTCTCCTCAGTGTTTACCATGACAAGGCCTGCTTCTCCCTGACCATTCCCCTCAACCCTGAGGACCCAGCCCCGTGAGTATCTCAGTTCTGACTCTGGTCTGGGGCCATGTGGCTTCCCTGCAAAGGGCAGTTCCTGGAAATGTCTGCATTGGCCGTACCACCCACTCCTGTTCCTCTTTTTCTCCTAGAAGCAACTTGGAAAAGTACTTAAAGGACAGCAGGAATATAAAGAATATCAAGGACTCTCGTGAGTGTGTGGTGGGGGAAGATCAGCATGGGAAATGGGGTGGAGAGTCAATAATAGGGTACAGGGGGCAGGATGTGGCAACCCCCATTGCTTCTCTTTCTCACACAGGCCTGAGGGTTCAGCTGCTGAAGCACACAAAACATGAGATTGTGGACTCCCTCAGTGTATTGCCCAGAACTCAACATGACCTTAACTCCTATGTGGTAGACTTGTGCATCCAGACGGTGAGCACCTGCTTACTCGCTCAGTCTGGCCCAGAGAGCTGAAGTAGGTAGGAAGTAGGGAGGTAGGCAGGAGGATCATGAAGGCTCTAGTTTTTTATTCTTCCCTTTCAGGATAGGATGCTCTTCTTTTCTGTCAATGGAGTATTTAAGGAAGGTGAGTGTCTATAGATTCTCCTCTCCAGATCACTCATTACTCCCATCCCCAGGCTGGGCTTACTCCAAGAACTCTTTCAGCTTCCCAGGTTGCTCCTCTCCCCTCCCCTTGCGTTCTTCCTCTCCATTTGTGGTTTTCCTCTCCTCCCAACTTTCTGTTATCTTTATGTTCTTTCCTTTTTGTTCCCTTTCCTTTGTGTCCTTCCTCTCTCCCAGTTTTGTTCCCAAATGTCGTTACTTCCTGATCTACATCCATGCCTGTCTGCACCTGGACAGCGCAGCCGTTAGGGACACAGGCTGTAGAGTTTAATGGCTCTCATCCCAGGTTCTTACTTTGTGAACTTTGGACATTGTCCTGTTACCTAATCCCTCAGTTTCCTCATTTGCAAAATGGGTTCGTAAGGTCATCTCTTGGGCAAATGTGTAAAATGAATCAAGTGAACTTATGTTTGTTAAGAGACCTGATACATGTTAGGGGGTTCTATCCCTGGGAGCCAATTGTTCCTATTGTTGCCCTCTAAATCCCTGAAACCCCCTCCTGACCCTCACTGAAAAGTTGTACCAGCCTGGCTCCCTTCAGGGTACCACGAGATTATCTCCCTGACTGGAGAACCCTGTGTGAATGTGTAAAGCATGTGCAACGGAGGTATCATTGTTTGTTGTTGTTAAAGTGGAAAGAGAGTCTCCAGGTTCTGTTCTTGCCTTCACCCGAACCTTCATCTTGACTTCTGTCAGCAATTCCAAGTAAGTGCTGTGTTGTGGGTGGGAGCACCCATCCTGTCCTAGAGTCAGTGGTGTGGGAATGTGGTGGTGCAGTCCTCGGGGAGTTCTCAGTACCATGTAAAGCCAACTGATAGATCCAAAGAGAGGTCTAGATTAGGAGAATATCAGATTTTCTTTTTGGCCACGATACTTTCTAATTAGTTGTGTGTCTTTTCATACAGTCATAAGATTTCTCTGTGACTCAGTCCTTTTCTGAAAATGGGATGTCTACTTATTTTGTAAACTGTATATGCGTTGGGGTTAAATCTACAAATCTAGGGAAACTGGTAGACAACCTCTCCAAAGGTAGACTCTGCAGCAGGGATAAAGCCTACCAGCCAAGGAATCTGAAAGGTGGGCAGAGTAGGTGCTTGGGAAGAATATGGTTCCTCAGTGGTAGTGGAAGCAAGATCATTGTTGAAAGTGTGGGGTTGTCCATTTTTCCACTTGTCTGAGGGCTTATCTTTTCTTCAGTCTGTATATTGTGAATGATGAGCTGATACTGAGGAATGCCAGCATGAAAGAGACCCAGAGTGCCTTCTCAATCCCATTGCCTGCACCCTTCTCCAGCTCCTTGCTCACCCTCTCCCAGGAGCAGCAAGAAACAATGCATACTGTCTCCACCCAGTCTGGGATGAACCTTGAGCAGTCTCAGAAGTGAGTGCTAGGGGTCTTTCAGGATAGATGTGAGCTGGGAAGAGTGGGGAGTGAAAAGTGGAAACTTTCAGTTAATTTGTAAAAAAAACTATTTAGATGTTGTGCTTCCAAAAATGAGCAGGCTCATAAGGTATATATATTAATTGATAATGATGATGAAATTAATTTTTAAACAATATAGTGTTCAGATCACATGACATGATGTATATATAAAATGCTATGTAAACAACACAAAAATCTATTAAAATTAATAAATAAGTTCTGTATTGTTTGAGAATACAAAATCAATATACCAATTGTATTATCATATACCTGTAATGAACAATAAGAAAATAAAGTTAAGAAAACAATTCCACATACAATAGAATAAAAATAACGTAGGAACAAATTTAACCAAAAAAATCCAAAATGTTTACTTTGAAATCTGCAGTATATTATAGAAAGAAATTAAGGAAGACCTAAATAAATGGAATGGCATCCCATGTCCCTGGATTGGAAGACTTAATATTGCTAAAATGGCAGTACTCTCCAAATTTATTTATAGATTCAATGCAAATGAAATCCATATCAAAATCCCAGCTGGCTTCTTTGTAGAAATTTAGAGGTTAACCCTACCATTGAAATGAAAATACAATGAATGCAGAATAAAAAATAATTTTGAAAAAGAATAAAGTTGGAGGACCCACTACAAAGTTACTGCAGTCTTACTACAAATCTGCAGCAATCAATCCATATTGAGTAATACGGATCTAGGAACAGACATATAGATCAATATAATAAAATGAGAGTCCAAAATAAACCAAAATCCTTACCTTTATGGTCAATAGATTTTCAACCAGAGTGCCAAAAAATAAAAAAAAAAAAAAAGCCAGTGGATAACGAAAGAATAGCCTTTTCACAACTGGTGCAGGCACAACTGGATATCCACTCACAAACAATGAATTTGTACCCCTATCTTATGCCATATACAAAAAATAAATCAAAATAGAGGCCTAAAAGTTAGAACTAAAACTATAAAAATCTTAGAAGGAAACAAAAGAGTGAATCTTTGTGACCTTGAATTAGGCAATGGTTTCTGACATGTAACAAAACACACATACACACACAAAATTAGATAAAGTGGATTTCTTCAAAATTTAAAACTTGTTTTGCATCAAAATACACTATCAATAAAGTGAAAAGACAACCCAAGAATCAGAGAAAATATTTGCATATTATACACCTGATAAGGGACTTGTATTCAGAATATATAAAGAACTCTTAGAACTCAACCATAGAAATGAAAATAACCCAATTAAAATAGGAAAGGATCCAAACAGACATTTCTCCAAAAAAAAAAAAAAAAAAAAAAACAGTATCCAAAAAGCACATGGAAAGATACTAAACATCATTAGTCATCTGGAAAATGCAAATCTAAATCACACTGAGGTATCACTTCACACACAGCAGGATGGCTACCATTTTTTGAAAATGAAATAACAAGTGTTGATAGGAGGAAAACAATAGGTTGAGCTTTGTTTAAAGATACAAAATTACAGCTACATAGGAGGAATAAGTTCTAGTGTTTTACAGCATTGTAGGATGACTATAGTTAATAATATGTAGTTTCAAATAGCTAGAAGGAGGATATTAAATGTTCCCAACACAAAGATAAATATTTAAGATGATGGATATGCTAATTACATTCATCTATTTTCTGTACATTGGATGTATTGAAGCATCATTATGTACGCCATAAATATGTACAATTATGTGTCAATTAAAAATTTTTTTTTAAATCTTGACAAAGATGTGGATAAAATGCAACCCTCATACATTGCTGGTAAGAATGGAAAATGATGCAGCCACTGTGGAAAATAGTTTGGCAGTTCCTCAAAATGGTAAATATGGAATTTCTATATGACACAGCAATTACAGAAAGAGAGATGAAAACTTATGTTCACACAAAAACTTGAACATGAGTGTTTATAGCAGAATTATTCATAATAGTCAAAAATGGAAACAATCCAAATATTCATCAATTTATGAAGATAAATCAAATGTGATATGTTCATATAATGAAATATTACTCAGCAATAAAATAGAATGAGGTTGTGATACATGCTATAACATGGATGACCCTTGAAAATATTATGCTAAGTCAGCTGGGCGCAGTGGCTCATGCCTGTAATCCTAGCACTTCGGGAGGCCGAGGTGGGTGAATCACCTGAGGTCAAGAGTTCAAGAAAATATTCTGCTAAGTGAAAGCAGCCAGTCACAAAAGACTACATGTTGTATGAGTCCATTTATATAAAATGCCCCAGATAGGCAAATCCACAGAGACAGGTAACAGATTAATGGTAACCAGGGTCTGGGCAAAAAAGGGAATGAAGAGTGACCTCTAACAGGTAAGGAGTATTTTTTTTTAAGGTGGTGAAAATGTTTTGGGTAGATAAAATTGGGATGGTTGCACAATCTTGTAAATATACTAGAAAAATTATTGTATACCTTAAAATGGTGAATGCTGTCTTATATCACAATGTAAAAATTAGTGGATAATTTTCATTTTTGAATTTCTATTTGTTATTTCTTGAACATCTTTTTCTGTCAATATGTATTAAGCTCTTGTTCATTTGAACAACCCTGATTTTCTGCTTTGAATTCTAGTGGGCATGAATGTCAGCAATTGGCATTTTAGTTTTCCCTACAGTGGTGCTCATATTGGTACATGTGTCCCAGCAAAAAGTAGCATAAATTAAGGCATGGCATTGCATAGTCAGCGTGTCAGAGATCACCTGTTCCTCTCCCTTAGGTGCCTTCAGGACAGTGAGTAGAACTACACCAAAGCTGACCAGGTTTTCACTATGCTCCAGGTGAGATCTGGGAATCAAGTGGGTAAGACATGGATGTTTCCAGAAAGGCCAGAAAATTGTAGCCCAGGTGGTCTGGGTATGGAACCCAGAGCATCTGGCTCTTTGGACAACCCAACTCCTTTTCTTTACTTCCTCTAGACCAAGAGCAAGATCCCAGTAGAAATCCTCAAGCAAATCCACTAAAAGGAGCCCTTCGATGTCTTCTTTGTCTTCATTGACATCTGCTTTGTTTCCTCTTTTCACCAGCCTAAGGCCATGCCCAGGATTGGGGTTGGAGGCCTGGCTGACCAGAAAGCCAAAGTTAACTTGCAGGCTGAGTGACATAACCACTCAAAGAGCCAGTTTTTCTGTGTATTCACCCCACTCATGATCACCATTTACTTTCATAATAAAGAGTGACGTTACATGTTGTACATTGTGTGTCCTGGATTGCTCTTCCCCTAACCATGAGCCAGCGGGGCCAGGACTGAAAGGCCCTGGCATCTCTGTTCATCCCTGGCTCACCTTAGCAGATATATTGATAGGGCTTGCCTTCATACATAATTTGTCAATAAATCCTTATAAGAAAGGATACATGCTCCTTCCAGAGACTGGCCTTGGCCTTGAGAGACAGTGGAACTCTGTCAGATGCTCGACCTGGAGCCCAACAGAAGCAGGCATGTTACCTTGGCACTCCAGGGGCTTCCATGCACCGTCCCAACCCCTCCCTTTCCTGAAGGTGCACTATGCTAGAAGGAGCCTCAGGTTACCACCTGCAGGGGAAGGCTCAGCCCATCTGCCCAGCTCATTCCTCAGAGAGCTGACACTTGGTGCTCCATATTCTTGAAGAGGTTCAGCCATTTATTTTCACTTCTAAACAAAGAACAGCAGCACAGAATCTCAGGTTATGGTCATTTCGGTAGGACCTTTCTCAACAACTGGCATTTAGCAGTTCCAAATTGCAGGCAAGAGTTGAAGAAGACATTTGCACAATTTATTGCCCACATTTCTGTGATTATTTCACATTAGACAATCAGCAGGCATACTTTTTGAAATTAAAATAATAGCGGTACAACGTTTTCAATTCACAATCCTATAAATGATAACATAGAAGAGGTAATACCAGTTTACAAATTATACCTCCACTTTCATGTTTGGCATATGTTATTTCCTACCAGTCACCAATTTCCTACCGCTTGCTACTTTTCAGTTCTTTATGTACATGTGCAATCAGAAGCCATATATCGGAGTGTGACTTTCTTATAACTAGGAACTATGGGGATAGTTGCCATTACAAAAAGAATAATGCCAACCTTGTTCTTCCCTTTAGTGCCTCAATAGTTAAAGACAAGCTCCTGTACCTCTCTAAGCCTTCATTCTCTCACTGAGGGAGCAGAGACCACACTGTGTGCTTCTCAGCCTCATTGTGGGGACTAGAGATGGTCTCACATGCTACTCATCAACCACAGTGTCTGTTCAGCTCAGGCTCTCAGAGCTGCCTGGGTTCCTTTGTAGGCAGGAATCATGGAACCTATCACATGGACCCTCTACTTCCTCTCTGTACATCATCAGGCTACCACAGCCTTAACCTTTCCTAGCGAGTTTGGACACCATGGTTTCCAGTCACTCATCCTCCTGCCAGTTCCCACAATTTCTTGTGGACTTATGCTTCCAAGCAAATGCTAAGCCTAAAGTCTTCTTCATCACATATGTCTGTATACCCAAAGTCATAGTTCCAAAGTAGCAGAACTGGGATGTGAAACTAGACAGTGGAACCACAAAGTCTTGAGCATGGAATGGCTGCACACTCATTTAACCACCATTCCTTTATTTTAATCTCCAAAACAGCATGTTGCATGAGCATTAGCGCTATTCTCATTTGAAAGAAGAGAAAAATTAGGCCCAGAGGAGTGACACAGTTAATACAACTTAGAATTTTGGTGTTCAGTCATTCACCTGTGCCACCCTCAATTCTAACACAGATTCATATTCAATGTAAAAATATAGTTAGACCTGAAGTCAGCACAAGGGAAATGACTCAACCATTTTCCTCTAGTCAGGGATAGATGTGCTCTTGGGACACCCCTTTCCTTACTCCAATCTTCAGTTCCTGTGTACTCTCTCCATTCTTAGACACAATAAAACTGTGGCTTTGATGTTCAACCACAGGGTGGAGCAGCAGAGACAGGAAAGAACATAGAGTGAAATGAAGATTTCCCGTGAGACAGGTATTAATTTGCAAGATTAATTCTGTTCCTATGTTTTTCCACATTTTATTTAAGTATTAATGCTCTCTCTCACTAACATCCCATTATTTGATCTCTCTTTCTCCCTTTCAGACCTTCTAGCACTTTCTTTCCCTTCCAAACTTGATTGCAGGCTCCATAATTTCATTTCATGCACGATTTAGGCAAAATCGTCAACTTCTTTGCAGTGTCAGCAGGGTGACTACATTTTATTCATGATAATAGCCTGGGAATGAGAAATTGGTAAATGCACACTGGTGCCAGGTTCAGTTTTTCTACAGTGAGCTGCTTTCAGTTGAATTGAAAATATTAAAGTTCAAAAGATATATTCTATCCTTTCTGCAAAACAACCAAAAATTAATTGCAAGTGAAAAATTGGAAAAGTATGTGCAACATATTTTAGTGACAGAATATTAATATACCGGACATATAAATAAATCTGACTTAACTAAAAGGAGATAACATGGTAATTTTCTTCTGTGAATATGTATTCATTGCATTAGGTGTTATATTTAGAATAAATATGAATTTTGAAATCTGCAAAAGCAACAGATTATATAGCTAAAAGACTGGTGTCTATGCCCAGGTATTACATATTTCAAAGAAATATTAAAGAGATAACATGCTAATTTTCTTGTATGAATATTATTTATTGTATTGGGGTTATATTTAGAATAAATATATGAATTTTGAAATCTGCAAAGCAAAAGATTATATTTTGATAACACTGGATACTCCTGCTTGCAAATCACATCCCTAAAGTAATGTTAGTCATATATTTTTTAATTTAAAAAGAAGACTGCAAAAAGCTTTTCTGTCTATGTATCTGTGTTTATGAGTTATGTATATAACTCAATGCATATAATCCCATATAAATCCATAATATCCATAACATTATGGAAGGTTAATGTTAAGAAGGTTCGACACATAACACTTCATTAGATGACCCCATTTTCTCCTTACAACAATCCTAATTAGGTAATGTCCTTACTCACCCCCACTGACAATAAACCACCCATTCCTTTGTATTTATCATGTGTTTTTGAATTGCAATATTATTTTACAAACATATGTACATATGTGTTTGTGTATCTATGTATATCTATCTAGCTACCTAGCTAGCTACCTATCTATCTACTTATCTATCTATCCACTCTCCTAATATAGTTCCCACTTACTTCTTGCCTTCTGTGACAAAGGTCATGGAAAAGAGGTCACAATCATGAGGGACCACAAGGCCAATGGCTAAAATGGCATGGCCCACAGGCCCAAGTTATGGATGTCAGGCAGTCACTTTCCCAAAGCCACCAGGACTAGTTGTACATCATCAGTCACCAATCTAGAGATCAGTCTAGAGTATTTACCTTCTAGCAAGAAGCAAATGAAGATACAGAGAAAAACTCCTGAATTTTAGGAGCCTTTGTTTTCTCCAGTGCCATTGCTCCTTTCCTCCCCACCTCCACAATACAACTACTTATGTACCGAAAGCATCATGATAGAGAATGGTTTGGTAAATGGAAGGTTAACCTAAGATACTGTGAGTATTCTCAACAGGACAGACATAGAATGCTGAACTAGGCAAAGCCAGATGTAAGTGAAGCCAATTAAGATGATCAAACCAGTTAAAGAGACAATGGCCCTACATATGTTTTGCACGCTGGAGTACATGTTAAGCAAATTTAAGGCACCACTCAAATATGGTCGTAAATTTTTCTCCTCATCTTCAACTTAGTACTAAATATATGAGTACATCATACTCTTCCCAGTATGCCCTTTTCTTGTAGCCACCTGAAGTAACAGGATAGAACTCCACCTAAAAACAGATTCAGATGTCAAGACTGATAATTCCAAACACACAGCAAGAGGGTATGAGAAGATTTATTACTAACATAATGAGGCCTCTCAGGAGGGTATGGTGGGCCTCCCAAACTGGTCCAAAATGGTTTGAAAGACCAAGAATAGGAGACTGACTTGAGATTTGTGTGTTGTTTAAGGGGTAGGGCCAGGGTGAGAGTTCCTGTGCACAATCAGGGGCTTGCACGGTTTGAATCCATTACTGGTGCTAAAGGACAGAGCACCTAGACTTTCTTATAGGCTTGCCAGGTGTGGGGCAGAAGGGAAAAATGCATGAGTAAGGCTTAAAAGTTATCAGCAAACACCAAAAAAAAAAAAAAAGCAGAGCCAGCCTCTTTATTATATACTTCCATGTCAATATTTACTTTAGAAAACTTCATTCATGACAAGCTTCCCCTGTAGCAATCCCAGGCATGTGTAATAGTGAATTATCTAAGTGTAAAGAGCCAAGCCTGACTTAGAGAAACCCTGTCTTCAGCCTTAACTTGCTACTACAGTCTAATGTCCTATAATCAATATGGTTTCCTCTGGATCTTCACTGGTTCCTGATGGAAGATTAACAGTCTGGACATCTCTCTGAACTGATAACTACTGAGGTACAACTTGTATTGTTTTTGTTTTTGTTTTCTGTGCAGATAGCTTCCAGGTACTACCTGCTTGGGCCTGTTGACCAGACCATTCATCTCTGGCCTTGAGTTGCTAACAACTACAGCCTTTTCCCTGGACCCAGGACTCTTACATCAGCAAAGCATCATAGTAGGTTCTCAGTGAATGATAATATTATATATATATATATATATATATATATATACACACACACACACACACATAATAAAAAAGAAATCAGTTATTGTTCACTAGAAAGATTAAGAATAATATCTAATATAATTACAGTAAGGAGAAAATAAACAGAGAAAGTTTGTTTTGATACATAGTAGGCCTTCAGTACATGTTAGTTTTTTACTCCTCTCTTCTGAAAATGAGGTGATGGTCACATAAATAGCATAACACTCGGGACTATAAGGAAATGTAAACACAAAAGGTGAAGTGTACATACTA